GATATATTGGCTAAAGACATGGCCTTAAATCTAAGGCACTGTGGAGTGCCGGGAAGATGGACAGAATCCTAAATATGGTAATGAGGCCCTCCTAAGATCAGAGCAGGTGTTTGGCACAGTAGTTGAAATCTCATTTGGATGCCCACAGCCATAATAGAGTTCTGGGTTCGAGTACCAACTCTGCTCTTGACTGCAGCCTGTTGCTAATAAACACCCTGCCAGAGAGCAGGTAATGGATTTGTTCCCAGCTACTAACATGAGAAACATGGATTGAGTTCCCAGCTCCCACACGCTTAAGGAGTGAACTAGCAGATGGGTTATCTCTCTATTTCTGTCTACCATCCTTCTTCCTTTTGAGTGAGTAAAACAAATCAGTGCAATCATACGAGGCTCTCCCTTCTGTTTTCTGCATGTGCCACCATGCTGGAATGTGAAAATGAATCATGTATCGTTGATTCAGTAGGAAGTGATGTAAATTTCTAACTGTACAAACCTTCAGATGGTAGAAGTCTTCTGTTCAGAAAATGACCAGACTCTGTGCACATTTCTCCTGATGGGGAGGCTGCATGGAAAGAACACCTGCATTTGAGAGGATGTTGACATGTGTGTGCATGCCACATGACTCTGATGAATAAAAAGCTCCAGACTTTTACACTTCCAGTGCACACAAGATTTCCTCTCACCTGTCAACTTCCAAACCACGAATCTGACCCCAAAAGGAGAGCAAGTGAAAGATTAGATTCGAGATCAGGGCTCTGTCATGTTGTTGCGTCAAATGAGTGCCTCCAGTATTGAGACCTTATAGTAATATGTTTATTCTATGTATTTTCCATCTATGTGTTAAATATAGACTAGCCCATTTTATTTTCACGATTCTATGAAGTCTCTTTATCTTGACTGTTTTGTAAAAAGGAAGTCCAGAGCCACATAGACTAAGGAATTTCAAGGCCACACAGCAAATAAACTAGCCAAGGTCAGAATCCAGGTCTGTGACTTGCTGGTGCAGTGTGCTGCTTTGGTTACACCACATCCCATCCCAAAGGGACGTGAGAATGGGGAATGGGACTCACTATGTCTGCTTCAGGTTGTGACAGAAACTACAAGTGCCTGGTGCTACCCAAACATAGAATCAGTGCTGTCATTCGGCTTGATAAAGGGAAACCATTTTCTTTCCAACTTCACTCCAGCATCAAATTGATGGGTGCCTGGAGAGGTTCACAAGTCTCCAGCTCCCAGGCTATCACTGAACACAGCACAAGTTCATTAAACCTGGATTATTTAATGATAGATAATGAGATAAACCTCTTCCCAGAAGCACTAGGACGTAACATTGCTGTCACTTCACCAATACTCCAGAGCAGATGAGGCACCTTCTACATGCAAAAAGGGTCTTAATGGTGCAGACACGTTTATACTTCCCTGGAAAGGTGATGGTATAAATCTTGATTTCTAAAAACAAGTTAACCCCTCAGCATCCAGTGAAAGTGTCCTGGGTGTCACCTGGCCAAAAACGGAGGGCTTGGACTACAAAGAAGGACATTGCCTCCGAGAGAATGTCCCCAAGAGACTTGAGTGTCGCTGAGGCCGAGGGGCATGTGCTGTGGCTCGGGGCTGTCAGTGTATAAGGAAGGAGTGGTCACGTTGGATATGGGAATCATGTCATTCCGAGGAACTTGTTTTTCCTACAGCGAGAAGTCTTTACAGGGACTAGACTGCAGTCTGCATACGTGGCTGCCTCTGACACCTCTAAGAAGATGCCACATTTATACTGACCTCCGAACTTTTAGCTTCCTTGGTTCCACATTAAACCACAGGAAAGTGGGTGGGTGAACAGAGCAAACTGACGGCAGCAGCTGGAGCCGGATGTTTGTGCCAAGCAGCTCATAGTCTGGGACTCAGGGATGAGATGGTGGAAGACTTTTACAGCAGCAAAAGACATGTCCTTTATCCAAAACGGACTCCTCACTCCTAAAGAGCCTATAAGCAAAGGGAAAGAAAGGAACCCATCAAAATACATACTGCTGGAATGAATGTACTTATGCACTCTTACATATCTAATAGGATTATTCTAGAATATATTTGCACAATTTGCATTAATGTATGTTGTATGTTCCTTGAGCTACAGCTTTGCAAGCGGGGATGGAACCTAGCATAATCATTAGTGATTGTGAGTTGATTATATGAGTGGCAACACAGAGCATGGAAAATAACAAAAAGCAGGTTTTGAGCTCCAGTCGCTGGTTTTAATGGCTTTTTGCTTTAAAACATGTAAATACACGGTAAAACTTACCCAAATGATGGATCTTTTAGGAAGTATAGTGCTTAGCACTGAAAACTATCTTTTTTCTTAATATTACCACAATTCGCACAGAAATAAAAAGCTTTGCTTTCCCTCTTTGAAATTGAAACATTGAAACTGAATTTTTGTTAGTGTCAGTTGTTTTATCAGTGTAGCCATTCCATTGGGGCAGAACAAAATGATAAACATATCTGTAGCTGTTCTCAGGAACACAGAAATTTATTTTATTTTTAAAGATTTATTTTATTTTTATTGGAAAATTATATACACAGAGAGGAGAGACGGAGAGGAAGATACTCCATCTGCTGACTCACTCCCCATCAACCACAATAACCAGAGCTGCGCTGATCCTAAGCCAGGAGCCTGAGGCCTCCCCTGGGTCTCCCGCATGGGTGCAGGATCCCAAGGCCTTGGGCCGTACTCATCTGCTTTCCCAGGCCATAAGCAGGGAATTGGATGTGAAGCGGGGTGCCAGGATTAGAACCGGTGCCCATGTGGAATACTGGTGCATGCAAGGCCAGGACTTTAGCCACTAGGCTACCATGCCAGGCCCAGAAACAGAAATTTATAGAGAAGATAGCCTTAGGTGGGGTAAAATAGAAAGGACAAAGGCATGCCCACAGAAGGGAAAGTAGAGTTCTTAAATTCATAAACTATTGTTTGTGTGTGTGTGTGTAGTTAGGGGAAAAATATCCAGAATTTGCATCACATTTTTGGCCTGCCCTTTTTGAGTTTTGCACATTGCCACCTCCACATGGCCAAGATAGCATCCTGCTGAGTTGTTTTTTTTTTTTTTCTCATGTGCTAGCTTCTGGTCGGTATTTAGGAGCACTCCAGAAGTGTGTATGCTGCTGTCAAAGATAGCGATGAAGCCAGAGCGGAATATAGCAGAGTCAACCCATGGAGTTGTGATCTTACTGTGAATTAAAGACAGGCGTCAGGTTAAGCTGCTCTCCATGGTTGGCTTGTTCTTTTGTTACACACAGGATCTCACTCGTCAAGCCTGAATGACAATGCCCCCTTTATGAAGATGTCTGATACTCTCCGAGCACACAGAATTCTTTCTCCTCTGGTACTTCGTTACTTTCACATATCCCGGTCATGGCAGTTACTCTCTACTTTGGCGATCATGTGCTTGCCTGTTCATTCCTGGGTAGCGGAGGAGGAGCTGTGAGCTGTCATTCTCCTTCATCCTTCCACACCCACTCCTATCATCATCATCTTCCTCAAGAATGACTGTACTTAGTGAATTTTCTGAAAAGTGGGACCATTTCAGCCAAGTGATTATTTGTTGAGTGAATGCACCAAAAAAAAAAATCATTGAAAAACCAGAGTGTCTTGAATCAGGTCATGAGATGGTCACACAGCTGTTTTAAGTTCCATAAATATTGCCAAATACATGGCAGAGGAATAAAGGTATTTGGGATAAAAAGAAATCTAGAAGATATATTTCAGGGCACTTGGGCCTTACAGAGCCACTGAAGAGACGATTCTAAATTTTCAGCTAAAAATGCCTTCATCTTCCAAGACTTTTCAAGCTGGATCAGTGCCAAGAATGTGTTTCATGACTGAGCTGTGAACCAGTGGAAAATAGGATTTATGATTTCTGACTTTGCTAGTGCTGTGTATGTTGCTCCTCTCCAGGATTATCGTTCTTAAAATATTGAGATGTAGTTGGCACTGTATTTCTGCTTCCTCCTAGACAAAGAAACAGCTGTGTCATGGAAAGGAAAGAGAATTACTATTGAAAGGAACATCATCATAGGCCAGGCCGTGCCTAGGCATGAACTGCTGATGGCCAGTGTATTTTGGGTTCCCGGGAAAGGGACTCGTTTAGGACATTGCTAACCCAGTTGGGAAATTGCTGTTGCCATTGTGGGTTATTTTTGATTTATGTATTTTTTTTGTAGTCCTTGTACTATTTCAACTCTTATCAGATTGCAGGTGAACTAGTTTCACTTGCCATGTTCAGGACTTTTGTGCTTGCATCCATGCACCGATATTTACCCTTATTCCAACGCTGCCATCACACACTTGGGTCCTGCATTGTGCCTTAGTCAGTTAATCTGCTGTCTAGGATTTCCCTGTGAAAGGATTAGCCTTTCATCTTGCTGTGCTGTGAACAACACAGAGGTAAAAAGGAAGCCTTCCTTTGCCAAGGCTAATTCTACTTTTTTGATCGCTGGTATGGTAGGTTTACAGCTAATCAATAAAATAGCGTGTAGCCAAAAGGATTAGGAAACAATGGAAGCTGTGCTCTCACAACTTAGATTCAGTCATACTTGTATCTCTTTAGAAACATCTTTTTTCTTCCACATCTACAATCAATAGCTAACATGTCTTGAAATCTAGCCCCAGGTATTTCAGAACAAGAGAAGGATGTAGAATTATTATAAATCCAAGGGGTACGTTCAAATGGCCACCAAGGTCCAGAAACTCCACTTGACTGAATGCTGCCAGATAGTCCCTGTCTCCTGATGAAGGTGATCCAGGTTGGACCACAGTATATTTTAGCTTCACAGGAACTTCGCTCTTTTCTGTTTTCACCTAACCAACCCCCCTCTTTGGCAGACGCAGGGGCATTTGACAGACACGCACAACCGCTGAAGCCCATTGGGATCATCGTCTTTTGGATAGACTAAGCTCAGAGCCTGTACAACCCATTTGTGTACTGACTGTCTGTATTTCCCCCTTGTCACAGGAGGACTGTGCCCGGGGTCCAACGATCCTTGCCTGGATAAGCCGTGTCCGGGGGACATGCAGTGTGTCGGTTACGAAGCCAGCAGGAGACCCTTCCTTTGCCAGTGCCCACCAGGGAAGCTTGGAGAGTGCTCAGGTGCAGACTGTGGTAGAATGATGAGGGTTGCAATTTTATATTTCTAAAGCTTGCCCTTCAGTACATTAACACCCCCCAGTCCCTTCAGAGGACACTTCTGTCTGCATGTTACATTGTCATTGAGAATGGAACACAGCTAACTTTTCCTTTGCTTGACTTGGGATTTATCCCAGATACAGCCTGTGCTAAAGAAAAATGTACCGTCGGTAGACTCCTTGCAAAATGGCAAGACACAGCATGTATTTTCAGTGATATTATGTGACTGTTATGAATATAAAATTACAGAAAAATAGAAGGCTGTCAATTAGGCAGAGGAGTCATGATATCTACGGCATGGCTTTTGATGTTCAGAGGGTTACACAAATGTGTGAACACAAAACAGAGATGGACAGAAAGTGGAACTAAGGCACATTGCCAAAGTCCCATAATGCAAATCAAGTTAAGAAAACCAAGTAGACTGACTCCACTAGAAAGCTGTAAGTAGCCTCATGTTCTAGAACAGAGAGGCATGTTTTCCATGTCTTAGGCAAATTTTGATTCAAATGCTCCTCTGTGACCATTAGTTTCAATATTTCATTTGATTCATATATCCTCTACCAGTTCTTTTCCTAAAAAGAGTATGCTTCATTGTTTAAAGATTTATTTACTTAGCTGAAAGTCAGAGACATAGAGATGGCTAAACCAACCACCTGTTGATTCACTCCTCAAATGGCCACAGCAGCCAGTCCAAAAGCGAGGAGCCTGAAGCTAGAAGCCTTCTCCAGGTCTCCTACATGGGTGGTAGGGGCCCTTGGACCATCTTCCGATGTTTTTTCTAGGCATATTACCAGGGAGCTGGATTGGAAGTAGAGCAACCAGGACTTGAACCAGTGCCCATATAGAAAGGTAGCATTGCGGTTGGCAACTTTTCCTACTATGCCGCAATGACAGCCCCATCGTTTCTGGTACCAAGACAGTGCTCTTTTAGTTAGAGAGTGCATTTGAGACACATTAACTGGTACCAATTTTGGAATCCTAGAAATAGTTAGGTATTGATAATAATAATAATAGTAATTGTAATGGGAATAAAAAATAATTATTCCTAGTATGTGAAGGGCACTTTGCAAGAACTAGGTTTTAAAATTTCAGCCCTTACCAAGATAAGCACTGTTCATATAAATGGAAGCTGGGGCAGGTGTTTAGGCTTGCATCTAAGACACCTACATCCCACATTGGAGGGCCTGAGCTCAACACCTGCCTCTGGCTACCGTCTCCAGCATCTGGCTGATATTGACCCCAGAGACAGCTCTGGTGGTCTAAGTAATTGGCATACTTCTGTCTATAAAGGAGACTTGGATCAGTCTCCTATCACCTGCTTTAGCTTTGGCCTGGCTATAGCATCACAGGTATTTGTGGTGTAAACTAAAGGATGGGAGCACTCTCTCTCCATACCAAATAGATTGCCATTTTATTTTAATTGGATGCTGATGGTCTTTCCTAGTAAATTTCAATAATGTAGAAGCCCATCAGGTGACAAAATGACCAGAGTGCCTGCCTAAGTCATCTTATATTTGGAAGAAAATGATTGTGCTGCAACCTCAATACTCAGGCCATGAGCACAGCAGCAGGACATGTAGGATGAAAATCCCCTAAATTCTGATGTCGCTTTCTGGCAATCTCCCTTCTCTTGTGTAGAATGCCATTTGGTTGTCCACTTGGTGAGTTTCCACACTTTCTGCCTTACCTACATGGAGCAACTTTTCAACCACTACTCTACCTCTTAAATGCATGAAGTGGATGGCAAATTGAAAATAAAATGAACTTAGAACTGGGCTGCAGACTTTTGAGTCCAGGAACAGGTTTTCAAACTAAATTGTGAAGAAGTGACTTCTCAATAATTTCATCGCTATCAGCTGCCTGCAATAACATGTGCAAATGATATCACTTGGCTATTTGACATTAGGCTATTTGAGGAATATGGTTCTTATTTTGAAATGCATTGGTTGTCCTTCCACTGTTTAATTGAATTGAAGATTCTTGAGTGCCTGAGTATTAGGAGTGGGATGCATAAGCAGGTGTCTTAATAACCTTAACTCTAGAAAGTGAAAATTGGGAATTTGGTGACAATAAGAAAATCCAAGCTATGGAATTTACCAAGTTGCCATTGGCCAGAGACAATCAAGATTTTTTTGGTAGTTGTGTTTTTATTTGTAATCAGAGACCATGATATGAAATGGAGAATCAATTTTTAAATCACAAACATTTCTCCTCAACACTTTCACTAACTCCATTGGTGTTCAACCAGTTTTCTAGGTGGTTGGTGGTTTGGGGAAGTGATTTCAGATATTCTTGCTCATTTTTGGATATTAAAAATCTATGCATCTTTTTGCAATGGTGTTTTCAGGGCACACTTCTCTCAGCTTTGCTGGAAACAGTTACATCAAATACCGGCTTTCTGAAAATAGTAAAGAAGAAGACTTTAAGCTAGCGCTGCGTCTGCGAACCCTGCAAAGCAACGGGATTATCATGTACACCAGAGCAAATCCCTGCATAATTCTAAAGGTACTTAAAATAGGTTATCTTTGCTTCCAGTCAGTTCTTGTATTCGTGTTTTGGCTCTTGGAATGAGGACTGTTGAAACATTTTTGTCTTTCAAGTTCAGACCAAAAGCCACTTTAGGGCAAAGGAAAGTGGCAGCAGAGCTGGGAAGGGTGCCAACATGCACTCCTTTTTGAATAGCAAACTTCAAAATTGGCTCTTGGTAGAATGAGGCATCTCCCTCAAGAACAAGTTCAAGGCTGGCCTCCTTGGCTCCACAGTCACTCAACAGCTCATTAGAACATTCTCTTAATCAGTTCCTCAACAGGGGTGGTCCATTGAAAGGACGGCCTTTATCCACGTCCACCACATGTGTCTGCTTTCACCAAAGGCAACTTTTGTTCTTGCGCATGAAGGAAGGTGGTGATCTTGGATCTGGAAGATTCCATATATGTTATCATGACCCAAGTGGCCCAATTTTTAATTCTTTTCCCAGGATCAAAAACCATCCGAAATTAGTCAGATTGCCTTTAGAGCAAGCTGGATGTTTTTATTCAGTCCTGGGTTTATGGTGCTTCCATGAAAGCAAAAACAACATTGGTGAAAGATTTATTGTTATTATTATTGTTAATATCTGTTAAAGCAATAGCAATTAAAGCATCATTACGTTTATTGGAAAGTTGGTATAATGAGTGTCTTAATACTATCATCTATATTTGATGGAGAAAAGGAAGACCGTTTAAAACAGCTAAGTCACATACCCAAGGTTGCATAGCTAGTAAGTAGCAAGGCCTGGACCCATCTCTCAAGGACTCTCACTCTAAGCTCTAATCTCCATACTGTGTTTAGCTCTCATTGTTGCCACTACAGCTATTGTAGACTTGGCCTTCCACAGAGGAAAGAGGAGGAGGAGGACTTATTTCATCTGATGCCCTTCTCGCCAGGCTTGATGCCAGCTTGTGCAAGATGCATTCAGAAGTACTCGGTATTTGGTAGAAAGTGCTCATCCAAGTAGAAATGGCTGGAAAGGTGTTTTTTTTTTTTTCCCAAGGTTCAGGCTCAGCAGGAACTGGGATAAGTCTTACTAGCTTCTGTCCTTCTATTGTTTGATAGATGACATGCAAGCTTTTTTGTTACCCTAGATTTTAGTCCTGAACGCAGAAGAGAAAAGGAAGAAATATGGAGGATGTTAAATGCCAGTGATTTCTCTTAGCGATCAGACTTCTTACTTACCACCTTCTGATGCTGCCAGGTAGTTGCCAGGGTGAATGAAAAGGAGTTTGAAAGTTGGCTACTTCTACAAGGAATGTCTCACATTCCTTATCCATTCAGCTGAGAATGATTTCAGCTCTGTAAAGGAAGATAATGTTTTCAAAAAAAATAAGACAAGCACTTTGTGGAGGTAGTTTTGAGCACAATGCATTCAAATAAGGCATTCAGAGGAAAAGAAAAATTGAAAGACCTCTAAGTCTTGTCTCATTCCCTCTTGCTGCCTGAGTTGCTTGCCTTAAGTCAAGAGAAGTTTTTCTAAATAGTGCTGAGATGTGAGGGTTTGCACAGCGGCCGGGAAAGTGTTCTGCTCAGGCAGAGCCACCAGCTCCTAGAGGCTTTGTTGCATCTCATGCTCTTCCTCACTTCTCCTGTAAGCTCTAACAGGGCTGGAGGTCACACAACATGCAGAAGAAATAAATCTCTTATACAGTATTCTTTTTGAGAGGGAATCAAAACTACTGAGCCTAAGTGACTTGATCTTAAGATGGAGTTTGTCATTTGACAATTTATTAGCAAATCCCTGGGGAAGGAAAAAACAGTAATTAAGCCTCATAGGCAGTTCTAGCTCCTAAAGTATATTGTATTTTCTGTAACAATCATGTTTCTGAAAATTGTGTAAAGTGAATGTCTATAAATAGAATTCTGATGAACTTGGGATGGTTGCTGTTTGAAGGAACTCATGTGTTAATCCAGGCGTGATGTGAATAATCAACCCAACTCTGACTGTTCTATAAGTTTGCTTTTCATATGTTGGGTTTGCCCAAAGCAGGAGACAGCTGGCCTATAGTCTTGCAGGTATTTTCCTGCAGTCACCAGCAATGTTCACTAAGGGGATTTGAATCTGTTTGCTTAACATTTTCAACCTCATGCAAGATTTAATTTCATTGGCTTTAGCTACAGTATGTGCCCTGTACTTTGATTCAATACTAAGCTGAAGTGCTTTGTTTAAATTGAACCTATCAGTTATGTATGTTTTCTCAGTCCAAGCACATTCTCTGAAAATGTACTTAAGACAATCAGTGGGGTTAACAGCACCCCTTGAAGCCTGCTAAAGAACTACATGGAGGTCTTGAGAAGTGAAATACTCATGGATAAAGGGTATGATTGTCTTTGGCTGCAATAAGACAGTGATTCTTCTATTCACCAGTAATATTCTGTCTTCCAAAAGAAATGCAAGACTTACCACATGCACCCAAATGCAGTAAAATCAAAGCACTATAATGATGAAAATAAAAGGTTAAGAGCTAACCAACATAGCAGGAAAGAGTATCATTATTAAAAGACCTAAATCCAGGGTAACTACGTTAGTGAGGCACAAATCATGATGATGAGTTCTCTGACAGCCAAAATGACAAAGAGTGGGACAGATTCAATGACTCTGCTCATCTCTAGAGAAGAAACACATCAGGCCAACAGAAGAGAAAGCCCCAAGGCAGTCAACTTTTTCTCGATGTCAGTCGTTGAGCTCCAATAATTTGTGGTTCATCTAAAAGAATCATGTGTGTTAGCTTTTCTCAAAGTTATAGGTGATGCATCGTTGCATTCTGGTGATTCTTGGACAGCTGGTCTGGGACTCCAGTGTCCATGGAAAAGGGAATACAGGGAATGCTCATTTGATTTACAGTTTAGCCCATTTGGAATGACGTCATGTCTCCAACAAAAAGTAGAATAATAATGAGGAAACTCCCCAGAAGTTATAGTTGCTAGAACCTATATAGCAATGTCATTAAGTACCGTTAGCTTGTAATCATCACATTTTATACTAGTGATCAAATGTCTATGAGTTTACCAAGTACTTTCACATATTCTTGATGGCCACTCCTCCGCCATGTGGGATGAGTGTCTGCTTTCTCCCTGGGAGGAGACTGAGACTAAGAATGATCCAGGAACTTCTTTCCTTGTGGCTGCTACTCAATAGTGAGTCTGGGCCTGTGACAGGGGGTCCATGGTTCAGGGTATCATAGTGATTTACATAGAGATCCAGAGAGCTGAGATAATCATTTACCCAATCACGTATTCATTCACAGCATACTTTTTGAGCCGTTACTGTGTGCCAGACAGCCATTAATAGCAGCCTTGAAAATAGGCTTTTAGAAAGTACTATTTTCAAAAATATTTAAATAAGCCTCTTGCAAGTTCCACAGTTATACTGCATTTGCTGCAGCCACACACCAAGAACCTGAAGTTGTTGACCTTGTGCCATAATTTACATGTTTTACTGAAAACCCTGCTTTCCAATAGAACTGACTTCTGATAGCTCCTGTTTCTTGTATCCCAGGACCCCAAGCCACCAAAGAGCCAAGTTAAAGCATATCAATAATCTCAATCCTGATGCTCCTATATATTTTTATGACATACGACAGGTCACTCGGAATTATGCATTTCACTGAACTTGTCTGGCCGCAGCCCATACTGACAGAGCATTTACACATCACTGCCGTAGGCTTTGGTTTCAGTTATAGGCTACACAGTTGCAGGTGTAACTCAGTTTGTATTAAAACAGTTTGCCTGCTGGTTAGAGCAAGCATCATTCTCTGAAAAGAGAACTCTTTTAAAATTGGGCAAACCCTATTCTGAAGAAAAAAAAAAGGGCCAAATAGGGATCAGAGCCTATTTTTCCTCATAGGAAAGGAGTTTAGTTACCAAGAGAACAAAGCATTCTTTTTTCTCCCCGGCAAAGTACCCCAATGAAATAGCAGAAAATTTTTAGCTTTTTACAAGGCAACTTTTGCTATCAGCATGCTAATTTGTCAAATAAACAAGGCTGATAGGTTCAAATGACTTTTGTAAAAGGCACACAGGCATCTGGTTTGCTTCATTCGGCAATGCTACTACTGTTATTTTGCAACTGAATCAAAGGGAATGGTTTGAAGCGACCTCAGTTGCAGGATTTCCATGTGTCTGAATAAGGCAAAGTTACTAGGTTCTTCCGGATGAATTAGTAACTCGGTCACTATTCCAACAAGGAGAGAGTAGGGGAGGGGACCAAGTAACATTAATTGAATGACCTGTTACACAAACTTACATGAATTGCACCCTCGCCACCACATTTTCTTCCCTGAAAGACTGGGGACTCTGTTTTTGCAGCCCTGGAGCAAAGCAACAGATGTGCCAGAGGAAAGTAATCTCCAAAGTCACATTTGGTCATTTTATTACTTCCACTAAAATACAAATAGGGATATCATCCAGGTGTTGCCACTGGTATGATTTACAATCTCCTTGCAGTGCCTTTTGTCAGAATGAGTGAATGAGCAGTATCGTAAGATGACCTGCGGAAATTTTGAGAATGGCTGTGGCGAGTCTTGACATCAGTGCATTGACAGCAGAGTCGAGTGTGCATGTGTGTATTTCATGGGGCTAACCATTCTGCAGTGGGTACAGTACTTTCCTCCGCAGGTGACCTGAGTGGTATGCAACAGAACCTAAGCTGCTCTCAGCATTCCTAAATTCCCACAAGACCCCCATCTGGTTCATGAGGCCCCTTGCCTGCTTCCATGCACACACATATGGATGCAGCAGGAATCTCTGAATTTTTATACAGGATGGGAGAATCCATGGAATCACAAAGGCATAAAAAATGAGAGCTCCTAAGAATCTGTTGTCTGCAGAGCACAGGGAAGTCCTTAATTAGGGCACACAAGTGGCTCTGTAGTGATTGCTGACAGGTCTATTAGCAGTGAAACGTATCAGAAAGACTCTCCAGCCTGTTTCCATGAATTCCTTTGATATTTATGCCGCTGTGGCTGTTAGTGACCTAGAAAGATGTGTGTTTTCTTCTCATTTTGCTTCCCTTCCTTTGTCTTTTTCGTCTCCCAACAAGTATCTCTCTTTGCACAGAACTACTAATGCCTATAGAGCCTCAACAAAGACCAGATCCACCTCCTTGCGTGACTCTGACCTGGCCTTCACGGGATCTTCCTGCTGATCACAGATAAATGCCAGGAAACAAGCCTCTGTCCCTAATAATTTATGGCCGCGATGCTCTTTGTGGCCACATAGGAATGTGTTGTCTGGGCAAGAACTCTCATTCTCAGGATGCTAGATTCACCTTGCATCTCAGGAACGCAGGCAAGAGTAGACGACAGAGAACTCATTGGCCACCCCATCACCCCAGCAGCAGCAAAACCTAAGTCTTTTTGGAGATCCAGCCCCTACCCTGCAGCTCTGTGCCAGCCAGTATGCTTCGTTAACACAGACTCTTCCTGTGCAGAATGTGCCTTGGGGCTAGCCTCTTGGAAGGAGATCAGTGCCCATCCAGCTCTTGGAGCAGGCATCTTGCACGCACCCCTCCCCCATCCAGATTGGGGGTGGTAAGCTGTGGTTTCAGCCCCAGCTGGTGTAATCAAAGCAGCAGGTAGTGCTCCATTGTAGCTCCACGGCTTGGAGCTGTCGGTATCCATGAGATGTGAGCTGCTCTGCGGGTCTCTCCAGCTGAGAAATGGGATTTTTTTTTCCTTTCTATCTTCCTGCTCTCTTTCCCCTGTAGACCACTCACATCACTTACTCTGGGAATGCATATGATGTAATATGTGGGGTTACTTGATGTGTATCCCAGCTAGCCTGCTGTGATCTAGTTGTGTGGCTGCTGTAGACCTTGCAGACTATGTAGCATATATAGCTGTTCAATAAATATTGAGTTAATAGAAATCATTCCCGTGGTGGGAATGACTACAAAGGGCTCAGCGAAGAAGCACCACTGCACAAGACAGTGCTGTAGATTTTAAAAGAGTAAATGCCTAGAGATGAGAACCAATAGTAAATATAATTATAGGTTTCTGAAGCATGCTCATTTCACTCGAAGTATCAGGCCCTATGGAGGCCTACATGGCAGCTAAGAAGAAAGGAGTGGTATAAAAATCAACCAGAGATTTATATCTAGATAAAAGCAAGGTGCACCTTACAAGCTGCTTGGGAAGGGCTTGGACTTCTAACTGGGAACAGCTAACCAGTAGATTACATATACAGATGTGGCCAGATTGACATGTAAAGGAACCTCTTGTTCTTTCCCGTGCAGATTGTGGATGGCAAGCTGTGGTTCCAGCTGGACTGTGGCAGTGGCCCAGGCATCTTGGGCGTCTCAGGCCGCGCTGTCAACGACGGCAGCTGGCATTCCGTATTCCTGGAGCTCAACCGCAATTTTACCAGCCTGTCCCTGGACGACAGCTATGTGGAGCGGCGCAGGGCACCCCTCTACTTCCAGACACTGAGCACTGAGAGCACCATCTACTTTGGTGCCCTGGTGCAGGCGGACAACATCCGCAGCCTGACGGACACGCGGGTCACCCAGGTGCTCAGCGGCTTCCAGGGCTGCCTGGACTCAGTGGTGCTGAATAATAACGAGCTACCGCTGCAGAACAAACGCAGCAGCTTCGCAGAAGTGGTGGGTCTGACCGAGCTGAAGCTGGGCTGCGTGCTCTACCCAGATGCCTGTGAGCGCAGTCCGTGCCAGCATGGGGGCACCTGCGCAAGCCTGCCCTCTGGTGGTAAGTGAGCCTATACCCTGGACATTATATGCAGTAGCAATTGGGGTGGGGGACAGTAAGAGGGGATTCTCTGTGCGGGATGAACTTGTAGAAGGTCCCACCTTCACAGCTCTCAGAAAGGAGTGTTCACAACCAGGTTGCTCCCAGAGCTTCCTTGTTCACTTAATGGATATTTCAGAGCTTGCCACAGCAGGAGTGGTCAGTTTAGCCAACTGTTTGTGACATACCACATGTGCAGGGCAGTGGCCATAGACAGAGTTTTCCAATCCACACCCCTTCCAGGCGTCTCAGCAGTTTGGATGAATAGGACCACCTTTTAAATAGACGTGTGCTTCGAAAAGCTAATGGATTTGGATATACTTATTTTGCTACAAAATTTTTGAAATCCATGCATTTTTTATAATATTCATTCTTGAGGAACTTTTTTGACGATTCCTTGTACACATGGATTTTAAATAAAGTGTGGTAGCAAAATAACCAGATCTCTGAACTCCATTTCCGAGCAGCTTTTTGAAGGACCTGCATGTCTCCCACGTGCCAGCTGCCTGTCATTGCAGAGACAGCCGTCTTCAGTTTCGCTGTCTGTGCATAATCCTTTCGCTGCCTGGAACTGCTGACCAAGTGTAGACACAGTTTACTAACAAGGTAACAGTGGTGGTAATGAGCCTGCCACCCAGGAATAGAAGCAGAGTGGAGATGCTTGCAAGCAAACTTTTGAAACCTTTATAGGAAAAAATAAATCTACTGACAATTCTACAAAGGAGTAAAAAGTCAAGAATATGGGAAAGGAACATGTGTGTAGTCTCAGGACGATAAGGGTCAGTGAGGGGATGGTGGTCTACCTGAATATTTCCCCCTAAAGGTACATCATAAACAAGAAAGGAGTAGACGCTTCCCCGCAAAGAAGAGATTTATAGAAGGTTTCCAGGATTCTTATAGTCCGGGAGTGGAAAGATAAAGGCAGCCCTGACTTTGTGTTCATGTGAACTAAGTCAGGTACGCTCCTGACTCCAGGCTTGCATCCCGCCAGCACCCCGACCACCGAATCCATGTCCGCCCCTTTGCAGAGCAGCTTGCCAGGCTGTGGCCAGCAAATCAAACCCTTCCTCACAAATCACTTTGAGATTCTGCTGTGCTCATTACCATCTCGTGTTCATGAAGCCCAACTCCAAATGTAGAGTGCATTTTATTATTAGAATGTTATAAACTGTCCAGGAAATGATGCACAGCCGAAATACAGATACCGAAGTTGTTTAGACTTGCATATGTTACTGCCACAATGAGGACCAAGTACCCTGGGGGGAAATTTCTGCCTTCTCGATTTAAGAAATCTATTTGCTGTTTTTACTGTCTCAGCAGTATATGTAAATAAAGGGTTGTTATGGTGCCGTAATTCCTGGATGATGGGCAGTAACTATACTTCAGTGGTTCTATAAACCAGCACATTATGACGAGTCATGGCCAGTTTTTCACCAGGCAAAACAATTGTGCTAGTGTGAACCATCTATGATATATAAAAAGAGCATATAATTAAATTGGGTTGAAATAGAACACCACTTCATGTCAAATCTTCAGTACACAGCCACAAATTGTAATGTACTTTTAAGGCTGGCAAGACGTTGTTTTAGCTGGCAAAGCTGTTGGCTTCCAAAATGGTTATCTCTAAAATAATGGCTGTATGAAAAATATGGAATCTTGTTCCTGCATGTGCATTTGCACTTCATTTTAAACTGTCATGAAATCTTTTAGCTAAGTGTTCAGTGAAGGTGTGTTAATTAAATGACTATGACTGAAGTGAAGAATAACCACTTTTTTTCCCCTATATTTTAAGATCACCTTTGGTCTAGCTAACTCACGGCATTGCAAACCACCTCCTGTATACTTGCCTTCCTTTCCAGTGGTCCAGCCTTGCATGGCAGCATGCTCTCTTTACGCCCCCACTTCCTCCTATGATTGCACTCAGGACTAGGATTCCACATAGCGCTTTCTTGTTCCAAGCGGATACAGAAGCTTTGTGTGTTTTGCTTTTGATTTTGATTTGTTTTGCCATTTGTGCTTGGGGGCTAAAGTCTTCCTACAATGAAGATCTTTCTTAAAATGAAGTTATCTTTTTTTTTTTTTAAAAGAAGTATCTTTCCTTAGCTCCAACTGTATCAGTTCTGTTGAGGAAGAGCAGCGGTAACTCCCCACCAAGGCTGCTCTCAAGCGTGACCTGCAGGTTTTTCATCTCAGAAGCCCTCAGTTATATTCCCAAATGGGCATCCCAACTCTCCCAAACAGAGCAGTCCTGAGCCCAGAGCCAACAAACCCTGCCCCACTCCCCAGGAAATACAAGAAAAGGAATTGTGATGGCTTCTCTGGGGAACCAAAAGGGACAGGATCCCTCTTCTGTTACACAAGAAAGGGCTTACCAGCTTCCTGACTACAGGATTACTAGAGGTGAGGAAAGCCATTTTTTGACCCACCCTCCACATGGCCTGTTCATATCAGGATTATTTTCTAGGCTCCTGGTCCCTATCTCCCACTTCTGTAAATTAGAGGAGAGGTGAAGGAGCCAACAAAGAAAAGAACCAACAGTTTGGACTTTATTTCATATCCACGAGACTGTAGCTAATTGTAAAATACTTTAAAATCAGAGAAAAAAATCTTCTGTGCTCTGAGTACTAGTTTAAAAGTGACAAAAAGACTGAGTCTTTAATGGAAGAAAATTTACTCTGTCTCCTCCTAGGACAGACTAGAGAAAATGGAGTGAGGTTACTTAAGATCATGATTCTTTTCAAGGAAAGACTGATCAGAAAACTTAAATGTCTAAATACCTTTCTGTTGTTTAGACCCTGCTCTGTGTGTTGCTCTAAAACTTCAGGACAAGGATTTTGGCATGATCATCCACTTGAGCACTGAAAACAAAGCTGTAGATGGGTCACAGGCTGTCTTGGTGACAGACTCCACTCTCAAATTGCAGCCATCCTGGCATATTATTCTAGAACAGTCAGAATATTTAAAGCAGACAGCCACAGAAATAAGCATTTCTTTCAATGGGGTGAAATTTGGTTACAGCCACCCCCAAACTCAATCAAACCCTTGGCGCACAGGTCCCAGAAGCCACATCTGCTGGGATGGAATGCCATAGTCAGCAGGTTTGACCATGGGGACAGCTCTGGCTGTCCCAAGAGTTAGCATGGGAACCCCAGGGAGTCAGAGCCCAGAGTACTGACTTGTAATAAGAGCCTAAATATGACTCCATAAATCAACCACAGGGGGAAGGCCTTCTCGTGGTAAAGTCTTAAATTATATGTGTCTCATATAAACATGAACTGGGAATAGCAACCACCATGGAGAAGAAATGGTCAGAGTTCATCCTGACCCCTGAATTTCCAGACCAGTAGAAAAGGAGCTTCCAGTAATCACCCACAGCCAAGTAAGCAGAGCTCACCCTTTCATGCTGTAGGGTGCTCAGCCTCAGCCCATTCGTGACACACCTGGTTGAAGCAGATCTATAATTTTACAAAGAGGTAAAGCAAGTCAAGCCGTCACCAGGCCAGAAATAGTCATTTAGAACGCCAGACTAAAAGCCTAACTCCTGACATGAAAAAATGGGTTAAATTTGTATTGGTAAGAGCTACTGTTCCTTAGATCCTTACTATGTGCTTGGTCCTTGCTTTTTAGGTCCTCATTGAGTGGCCCATTTAACTATCACAGTAATTCTCAAAACAGTGTTGTTCTCTCCTACGTAATCACTCCCATTTTATGGATAAATGTCCCAAAGAGGCTAAATAGCCAGCCTCCCATGAGCTGATAATGTGTAAGGCCAGGATTTGACCCAAGTGTGTGGGTTCTGCCCCCTTTGCACATGCCCTTATCCCTTGCCCTTCCATGCATCCCAGGGTCCAGTGGTAGCAACACCCCTGGGAATGTCAGAAAAGCAGCATCTAAGTTGCCACCCCACACCCAAGCAGTCAGAATTTGCATTTTAGCAAGTTGCCTACGTGATGCCCTGAGACACAGAAAGTCTAGCTCTTTCTGTTTCTTTCATGATGAGAATGGTGGTTTTCAAATTCAGAGACATATCTTCATCACCCAAGAACCTCATTATAGGAGAGTCTCTTGATGGTTAATACAAATACAAAACACGTTTAATTTGCTCATGTCATTTGCTATCCATATCAGAGGAATCTTCTACTAGGTTACTGAATTGAAATTAGAAATCCATGAACTTAACAATGCCAAGAAAGTTTATAGGAGGAAAGCTTCAAACCTACAGAATCAGTCTGTAGGGGCAGAATTCAGGCATGTCATTCTGTAACAAGCTCCAAGGTGCTTCTGTGCCATCCAACTTTGAGAACCACTGACATTTGGAAATCTAATCATGGTATTTGCCAGAACATGCGCTCATGAATGCTAAGAGAAATAACTAGACATAAGACATCCAGAAACTGAAGGTCAGTATTTTATAAAAAATGTATTTTATAAAACTTGATTTAATGTGAAGATGGAGTTTTGCTCACTTGTCCTTAAAATAGGTTTAAGTAAGTGCCTGCCGTGCACCAGCTCTGTGTGGAGTAATGGGTACGTCAGGGCCTATGACCCGTGGACAGCATTTCTGTCCCTTGGCTTCCTCATCCCTGGATTAACGGGATTCAGCAGGGATCCTGTATGAGCTGTGCCTGTTGACCCATGGAGCAGGAAGGCCTGGGAAAGGAAAGGCCAGACTCAGTGAACATACCACGCACATTACTTGGATGAGCTTTTCAGCTAATAGGGAAAATTTTTTTTTCTTTTCCAAACAGCTTGTTTTCTAACTTTGAATTTATTTTGTTTGCTTTGTAACCTGTGAAAACCTGATGGTAATAACATTAATAATTATAGATACTAAGAAGATAATTCCTAGCTAGGAAGTGGGTTATAATCAAACAACAGAAGAACATACCACAAGGTGGGAATGACCGTGGACCTAATGTTGCAAACACATTAAAAGTTTCCAGAGCCTCAAGGAAAATATT